TATAAATTGGTGTGTGTTTAAATACTGATATATTTATTGAGTTAGAGCTTGTCAAAAAGAAATGGCATGTAACACTCACGATGTAAGGTTTCTTTTTTAAAGTAGAAAATACTGTTGGTTTTAATAATCATGTCTTTATTACAAACTCTACCCCTTTAGTGCTTTTCAAAGTTCTGAATATATGCACTAATGTTGATGCTTGATGAAATAAACACAAGAAGCACATTTAAGAACTAGTTTTGGTCAATGACATTTAACGTCACCCAGAGTGTTTGCTTCAGTGGTGACTCTTGTATCTCATGTGTGCACAACAATCCAGTTATCACTCATCTACTCATCAAACATACAATCTGCACCACTCAAGAACTTGGAACTGTAATACATTCTGTAGTGAACAGAAGAGACAGGGAACTGCTATGGGGGGCATAGGCTTTGGTAGGGGACCCTGATATTAAACAGCACAAAATGATACTAAACATATAAACAGTCAGTGATATGTGCAGATGGGTTGGCATCTACAGGATAGTTGACAGGTGACCATTTAGCCTTGACATTAGGGAGGAAAGTGGTTCTGACTGAGCAGAGGCTGTGACATTGACTCATTCAAATGGAAGTGTCAGCTAGACCATTAAACCATTAAAATTCAGAGACTGCACTGGACGTGTATTTGGAAGCCCTCTTCGAAGTCAATGATCTTGGATGACTCCACATAGACACAGAAAACTCAGAACTGCCCACTCCAGAAGCCTCAGCTCCTATCTTCATTAGTGAGAGATGCTCAGGTTAACCTGGGCCACTACTTTTTCTCTTCCAAGGCTGCAAAACCCACTTCTGTTAGCTGTGTGTTCTCTGTTCTTGCTTTTTAAAATCACTCTTGTGTTTTTATTCAAATGATTTCAAAAAGAGATTCCATTCCTATTTGAAGTTGAACCAAATGAGAAGATGTCTCTGTTGAGTAAAAAGCATAAACAAATATTCTTTTGCTTAAATTAGATGTTGAAGAATATAGCTAAAAATAACATGTAATCTTTCTGTCCCAGCCTTCTGTTTACTGAGATTATAGGCATTTGTGATCATGCTCATTTAGGAAGAAGTTTAAGATATTTGTTGATGGTCTGGAGAGAGAGTTCTGTGGATAAACCACTTGCCATGCAAGTAGGATGAGAACAGTTTGGGTCCCCAGAAACCACACAAATGTCCTATGGGTATGGTAGCCCTTTTATAATTCCAGCCTGAGAAGGCAGAGACAGGGAATCTTGGGAGCAGACTGGCTAGCTAGACAATATTGTTAAGTTCTGAGTTCAGGTGAAGAGTGATCGAGGAAGACTTCAGATGTGAACTTTGTCCTTCCACACACACATTCACCCAAGCACACAAGGACATGCACATAACACACACACACACACACACACACACACACACACACACGTGCAAACTGTTCGCTTGCTTGCTTATATGTTTCTCTAGTTAGTGAGTGAGTGGTGTTGGGGTGGAATCTTGGGCTTCTGACTTGCTAGGCAAGCACTCTACCACATACCCAGTTCAGAAATGTTATTTAAATTGAAGAGACTTTCTACTCTGAGCAAGGTGGCAAGAGGTAAGTTTTAGACAGGCAGTGATTGATGACTGGGTTGAAGAAGCCCTTGCAATGCAAATCGACTCTTTTGAGGTATTTTTTTTTTCAGATTTTTTATTTGAATTAGAAACAAGATTGTTTTAATGATAATCCCAGTTCCCTTCTCCCTCCCATTCTCCCCTACCACCCCCTAACCAAAACCCTACCTATTACATATCCTGTCTGCTCCCCCTGGATGGTGAGGCCTTCCATAGGTTGTCATCAGGGTCTATTGTATTCTTTAGGATAGGGCCTGGGTTCACCCCCGTGTGTCTTGGCTCAGGGAGTATTCCTCTATGTGGAATGGGCTCCCAAAGTCCACACCTATGCTAGGATAAATACTGAACTACTACAGGAGGTACCAAAGATTTCCAAGGTTTCCTCACTGAAACCCAAGTTCTTGGGGTCTGGATCAGCCCCATGCTGTTATCCCAGCTATCAGTCTGGGGAGCAAGAGTTCCCCAATATTCAGGTCAGCTGTTTCTGTGGGTTTCACCAGCCTGGTCTGGACCTTTTTCCTCTTCACTCGTCCTTCTCTGCATCAGATTCCAGTTCAGTTCAGTGACTAGTTGTGGGTGTCTGCTTCTACTTCCACCAGCTGCTGGATGAGGGCTATCAGGTGGCATATAAGTCAGTTATCAATCTCATTATCAGGAGAGGGCATTTAAG